GTATAAATTAAATAATATTAAAATTATAATTATTGAGATATAATAAAGTTATCATAGTGGTAATATCACGCATTTTCTATCAGGCAGGTGAGATAAGGATCTGATAAGGACCTGATCTTTTGATCCTTACCAGGTTTTTAACGAACATTGCGTTACATTTTTTGTAAGACCTCTATCAGGGAGCTCTCTACCAGGACTTGATTTTGCATTTGATTAAGGATTACGTGATAAGGGCCTTATAACATCCTGATTCAATTTCTACTCGGGTAATTATTCGAGATACCAAAGTTATTCTATAATTTGATGAATCAACACGTTTTCATCGTAAAATGTCATTCGCCACTTTTTTTCTCCACGGACAACTTGTTCCGTGTTAAAATTGCTGATCGTTCTTGTTTCGCGTCCTTGCAATCGCATATTACCGATACGGATTCGCAAGATCCGTAATTGACATCGATCAGCGCGCGGGAATGTTATGATAATCGGTCCCGGGAGTGATCTCGAAAGTGATCAAAATGACTCATCATTTCCCGTTCGCTTATCGCAAATTGCAAAATTCCCGAATCCAAGCATGAAAATAGCACATTAGAGCACTTTACACCGAAAAACAATTTTGTTGCGATTGTTCCATCGCCTCTTGTCGACTTGTTAGCCAGCTTTCTCTCAACGCCGCTTAAATAATCGTTCACAGCGATGATTTCCTGATGCTCATCGTAAATTCGCATAAACGGGAATATCCCGGATGAAAAACGGTGTCTGCTTTTTCTCAATGGGTCAAATGGTATTTTTACCTAACACTGGAAACTCTTAATTAGTAATTCCGATTCCGAGATTTAAATAGCGTTAATCTCAGCTGTAACGCACAAATATTTTATTAATTAGTTATTTTGCAGATCTGAAATAATGTGACGGATGCAACTACACTTAGCTATGCAATAAATATATCTTTGTAAAAGTCACAAGAAAAGTTTTCTTTTTTTTTTTCATGCTCTTTTTCGGTAAAACAATAGTCTACATTTATCCTCAAAACGGTTGGCTGCAGTTAACTGTTTCACATTGCCTTAAAACGTTGGAGGGATATTATGCAAATTGCACTATTTTTTGTTCGTCTAACACACAATGCAACAAAAGTGGATCGGTATCTGATTAAAAGATATTAATTGTACTTTTAGATATGATTTTCTATCGTTAACCGGCTAGAATTCTTTGGATGTTTTGTAGATGTTTTTCGATGGGAGATGAAATTTTTTTTCTGCGCAAAAGTTTCCATGTAATAAATGTACTTTCATTCGCACATTTTGGAATATTCGCGCGAACTCTCACCTTAATTAATTAAATAGAAATGTCAGGTGTCTGTAACTTTCTAGTATGTCAGAAATTAGGCACCTTCGCTACACTTTTGTGGTTATTAACGAACAAAGGAACAATGCGACGAGAAATTAGGCAGACCGTCACAGATTTTCGTGACTCTCGTTCATTTTTTTTTGTACGTTTTAGAAGATATCATAGATATTTCGATTTTGCGCCTTTTCGCAACAATCAATATTTATTTATTATCTCCATTTATCTTATATCAATATTTGGATATAACAAAAGTGCAAAGATACGCTAATACGTACGTATTACAAACGCGTTATCACGTCACCGCGTTATCACGCGTCACCGCGTATGACGAAAATGTGCGTAAACGATTACAATAATTTCCTTACAAAAAAAAAAAAAAAAAATTAAAATTGTTTCGTTATTAAAAAGTTATCGCATATCCTTCCGGCATAAACTTCCATTTCCATCATCGGGAATCAGACGGACTGTTACGGAAGGTCGGCGAGGCCAACGGCGGATAATGGAAGGAAAGTGGGAGAAGAGGAGGAGAGTCATTCTGGGCTATTGAAGGACAATCACGGGTCCTCCCCGCGGGCGCCAATTCTTTTTTTTTTTCTTTCTTTTTTCTCTCTCCGATCCGGATGTCGTGGATTGGCGGCGGCGCCGGTGGCTCTCGTGCACGGATAGTGGGGGGGGACACACCGCGAGAGAGTTTTACGTACCGAAATGAAACTACTCGACGGAGAAAGTGAGAGCAGACGTAGCGGTGGACACCGACGAGACGACGAGCCAGGCGAGCAGGCGTTCTCCGGGCTCCCTCGACGAGAGAGGATAGACGTGGTGCGAGGCCTCCACGCGATGTGGATCTTCGCCACCGTGTGAGTAACCGACACGCTTCATCGGTCGTGCCCGAAGTGCTCGATTCTTTTACGTCGAAAGGGAAAGAAATTCTCCCCCTTGAAATTGGAAAGAAAAATCGGAGAAATTGGAAATTGGGAAATTGAAGGACCTTCGTATGACCGTCGTCGTCGGTTGTCTGTCGGGTGGAAGTGAGGAAAAAAATAAAATAAAAGAAGCACATTACTGGTAAAACGAATTGGCGGTCTGAAGACGTGAAGGAGAAGACACCCGTGACTTGACGAGTATCAATTCTTCAAAAAAACCCAGGCGGCATTCCGAGGATTCTTACGTGATCTCGAGTCACGTAAGCCTTAGCTACTGAAGTGCGATAATAATGGCACGATAATAACGGCCGATAATTAATTATTGGTATAATCGTTGTATTATTATCGTATAATTTGTAATATCGAATATACGACACGACACATCGTTATCTCTCTGCAGTACTCTCTGTAAATCTCTGTGTCTACTCCATGTAATCAATCATAGAAAACCGAGAAGTTTTTAATTATTTATCGTGATAATACCGTGAGTGATTTCGACGTATAAATTGGACGTTTCGTGGGAGACGTGATCGTCGGAAGTCAGGAGGATAATCGACGGCGAATATACGACGAGGAACATACCCCCGCCGTGATACCTCCCCCGAAAGGACCACCTGTCGCAACGGTACCTTCAATTGTGTTATGGTGCTGAGGACTACCTCGGTAAGACGAGGCAGACGAAGAGGTCGCAGAAGAGAGGGCGGCAGGAACAGCGTCCTGGCGGGTTCCCTCTGAGAAATCGCTCGCATTGCTTCGATCGGCCGAGGAGAAATCCGGGAAGGTCACGTCTGGTGAAGCGGTGAGTGCAGTCTCACGCCGATTTGTCTCCCCCCATCCCCTCCCCCCCCGTCGTAGACCGTCGTTGGTCTATTTTATTCCCCGCGTTTTCTATTTTCTAATCTTAAAACACCAATAATAAAAAGAATACAAATATTCTGGGAATAATTCACATGAGTAAGACAGAAACGGGCGCCTAAAGTAGCGCCTAATGAACATTGTTGGTAAACTGAGGTGTGAATATAATATAAAATACTTCTTTAAAAAAAAAAAAAAAAAACTAATGGGGAAGTGTTATTTATTTATAACGAAAGGAAAGCAATTCGAAAGAGAAAAGATTGCTGTTGCGCTTCTGTAACGAGACGATGCAATTTGAGGTTCATAATCAGGTCGTATGTGTAGTTCATTATCACGGAGAAACAATATTAGAGGTAGGCGTTTTCTAAAACGTAGCGCAACGTCGAAGGATCTGATCTCACGATCAGAAACGCGTATCTCTCCATTTTTTCTTCTTCTTCTTCTTTCTTTTTTTTTTTTTTAACAACGCGGTCTGCGTAGAGCGATCGACTCGCAACTTCAAAAATAAAAACTTTCTCCCGTGGTTTCTTCGCGCGCTTGATTATGCGACTGATAAATGCGCGATACGCGGAGAACGCGTCTCAAAGCAGATCAAATTTATTCGATTTATTGTTCGGAATGTATGTATCGACGAAGGCGATAGGCGAAGGCACGTAGAACGGAACGCTCGGTTTCGTTTCGTTTCGTTAGGCTTAATGTGTGATTAAATGGTAGTTACTATAAAAGCGGGGAGAAAGCAAGATCGCCTCCGAGGAGAGCACCTATCTTTCCAAAGAGAAGCTATCAGCCGTCTCTTACGTATAAAAAGTATGTTAAGCGAAAAGCGCAAGTCGGTGCGTGCGGTGATTTTGATGCAGCGCGGCAATCGGTGCCAGATTTATTCTCGACCTGGATTTCAACGTAGCCCAACATTATGCCTAATAACTGTGTGTTACATTAATGCTTTCCCAGATGCGCAGATTTAATAATAGGAGCCCGTTAAGAAGGAAACACTCCAATTGGATATTAATTTTAGATAATATGCAATTACGTTAAAATTGGGTAAATCTAAAGGGATATTTTTCTTCGTAATCGAGTAAGCGATTTTGCGCGATTGGATTAAATCTACTACTAAATCTTCCACGCGGAGATTTCACCTGCGCACTGCACCGATCTTATCGAGCAATTGTGTATCAATTAACACGATTTACAGCGGGAGCTTGTTTTTCGACGAGACAAAATGGCCGCTGGAAAAAAAACACGCTTCTCGATCTTAAAGCGAAAACGGTATATATATATATTTCTGTTAATTTTACAAGAAGAAAGTCCCTCCGCTTGATTTTGGAAGGAAGACGCGGTTTCACAAGAAGGCGCGTGATCGCCGGTTTGAAGAAACGAATTTTCGCGTCACGTGGCCGTAGTGTCGCCTCGGCCTCAGAGGTGGGTTTTTTTTAAACTGCCATCCTCGTAGGCAGTGAAAGTACTTCCGTTCTTTCTCAAAACGAAACGCTCGCGACGCCGCATCAAGGATGCACGCTTCGGTACCGTTGTACACGCATTGCCCAAACACACTTCTCGTCGTTTACGTAACAGAATTCGATAGAGGTCTGAGGAGAGAAACGTTCGTCGGATTTCCAAGAGTCACCGTACGAGCAGACTTTTAACTCGAATGTCATGTCGAATTGTTTAAGAGTCGTGAGAGTAGGAAGCAAAATGGTCAATAGAAATTTTGATTAATTCTTAATATTTTAATATTAATTTCTTTCTTCAATATTTCTTCCATATTTCAACATTCGACATTTCTTCAATATTTCTTCAATATTTCTTCAATATTCAATATCCGATGTCTTCGAGATTTCTATCATAATTTTTGTCTAATTTACAATCGTTGAAAAGCATTCTATCATTCTTCTGAAAACGGTTCAGAAACGACGAGAAAAGATTCGTTATACAATGGAAAGTGTTCGTCACGAAAGATACCGGTGAATTAGACCGCGAAAATGCTTATTCTTTCCAAGGCCACGAATAAGATCAGCGGCTGCGATGCCAAGATTTCTTCGGAGAAGAAACCGGTTTCTATCATTTTCGAAAGGAAACGCGGATGCGTTTTCGAAACAAATTAATACACACAAAGATGAATTTCGAATATCTAGACATAGAATCCGTTCAATCCGTCTTATTCCTATCGCTTTACTTTGATAAAGAACAGACGACAAAGGTCGCTTACGTGCGCTATATCCGGTGTGGTTACAAAGAATGAGTGTGATCGGAGGATAAGAATTCCCCTCGACGTATGTGAACTTGGCAGGCTTGGTCTAGATAAATTTATACAGCCAGTGTCGCCAACCTCAAGAGTCAATTCCGTTATCTTAACGGTTAATTAAATATTACAGAATTAGCGCAACGAGTGACGTATAAAACGATCATGAAAGCGTGAACGATCATCGCAAACGCTATTTATTTCTATCTTCGTTAAAAATAATCGGCAACGAGTGATTTTATAGAAATGCATAATGACAGAGTACTTATCGATGTAATACGCCATTTTGAAATATAATATACTTACCGAGCCCAGAATCGTTCTCTTATGCGTTACGTTATACGGAAAATTAATAGCCGGTTAATAGATGCCGCGACGCTGATACGCTTAATGACCCGCGCACGATTTGATGGCGCCTCATTTTCAGCGAAATGCGATGTTGTTTAGTTTTTATTTAGTTTTATATAATTCCGTATCGCCGATATTATCGTCGCGGCTCGGCGGCGCGGCGGCGCGTGCAGCCGAGCTTTTCTCCGTGACGCTTGGCCAGCTTTATTGTTGTCGTCGGCCATTACGGTGTACGCGATGCGTCGAAGGAAAAATCGTAACCGATCTTAGCGCAGCGCGGAACGCGAGAACGATTATTCTTTCGATTTTGGCGAAAGTAATGGCCGAGCTCCCGCGCGATGCGCGGGAGAAAGTGATGGGTCTCCGCCGCTTCTTTAATGCCGACTCCACGTGCGCGTTTCGAGATGGACCCCGCGGGAGGGAGCGAAGGGGATGCAATCGGAGAATCGATCCGTGTGGATGCCTCACGTGCATTGCTTTCACTGACAGCTGAAAACAGACACGGCTTATCTTCAGTCGGCGGGTAGGCAATACTGATGATATAGAATTATTGCGATTTCACGAATTATTGCGACGGTTAATTGTCGTCTTTAATTTCCCGCCCTCCCATCCCCCCCCCCCTCTCCGAGGGATGAAGTAACGACAAACGAATCTAGCTGGAATTGCCATTAGGATATTCAGTGTCTAGGGGAAGAAAATAAACAGTACGCAATCCATCATCCAGTGTCGTGCGATCGTCATCGCAGTCCGATTTCACAATTCAATATACACTTGGTCTTTTATTGCGTATCGAGATGCGCTTGACGGACACTTGCAATTTAAAAAAAAAAAAAATCACAGTTTTGCTGATCGATGATCCTTGAAGCAAGAAAAACAGAAGAGAATCGCGACCGGGCATTATAAGGATCGGGGCAAATGCGATCGCTTTATAGCAATCGAACACTTTCATGGTGAAATTCGTCGCATGCGCATCGAATTCGCGTGCGTTCGCGTCGCGTTTTGCGACGACGCGGGGGACGACGAGGGGGATGTAACGGGGGGAACAACAAAAGGCTTTGGAGAATGACGCGGGGCAACGATTCGTAAGTTCCGTCGCCGTGGCGGCGGCTGGCACCACGTGAACGTGAACTTCACACTGCCGTGCACGCAAGAAGTACACTTTCACTTCTAGTGGATCCATACGACGTGTAGAGCCAATGACCTACTAACACATCGAACCGTTCTCATCTCCATCCAGCAATTGGTGCTGGCCCGGCAAGGCCGTCCATCGAGAGATTATTTAACGAACAATTATATCCTTCTCTTCTTTTTCCTCTTGGCGCTTTCAACGCTTCAAAAGCCGGCCGTTGTTTGCCTAGGCTGAATAATGCTAATGAAATACGCCTTTCATATGAAAATTTGATTTTTCTGAGAGAAAAGATCTGATTCAGAATCTATTCGTTACACTTCCACTTGTAATAAGAGCCTAGGGATTCGTTAATTAATGCAAAATTAATTGTTTTCTAAGAAATTGAAATGTTAATATTATAATTATATGAGCGCATGGAAATTGCAGAGGTTTACAGGTTTCAGGCTTTAAAGCCTGTGTTAATAGACAAGGAAGTTTTATTAAAATTTACCGATGCATCATTTTCTCTCGCTAATGCCGTTCATGGCCGATAATTTCGTTCGACAGAGATGTCGGTGGATTTAAACGCGTTCAGTGAATCTTTCTCGCGTATAAATGCCATGATCTTTTGGTTCCGGGTGAACCTCTTTACTTTCACTCGTTACGGAGGATCGTGACGCAAACTGGATTTCGTCCCGTCACGAGGAATTCAATTCGCAGGCTACACGGAAGTTATTTTCTATTTTGCCTCGTTTGTCTCCATACGGGATATTCCCGCCTACTCCGTCAACTCCGAGTCGCGAATAATAATATAATAATAATAAATTTGGAAGGAATAACGGATCGTTTGTCAAAATGTTGAAGGCGCTTTTTAAAAATTATACCTTTGATGAGTGGAACTTTGTTCGGAAAAAACATCAGTAAGTTTAAATATTATCCTCTCAAAATATATCGTGTAATTTATCTCCGCGGCATTTCTCGTCGTTTCATATACAGAAGCGATACTTATATGAACGATACGGTGCCAAAAGAAAGTTCTTCGATTTACCGCTATCGATAATTGTGGGTACAAGTAGCATGGTATTCCTCGACGTCGGATCAGAATCTCCGATTCCACCTGGCTGCGAATCCAAACGATGCGTATTTCCTTTCGCTAGGAAACAGGCGTTCTAATATCTGGCACCCGATGATGATTAACGACTCGTGAAACTCAAGGAGAAAATCGGCCTGAATCGAGTAATGACGAGATTGTCTAAAATCCGAGGTGTTATCGTAGGTGGAAAGATGATTTAAAACGCCTTGTCTGATACACATTTAGAATCAATTTCTACCTGAAATGTAAAGTCTACATTTTTCATGTTCGAGTCTGCGCGATAATACTTTTTTCATAAATTACTTACGTTCATTATATATTTCTAATTATGTCTTATTTTGTAATTTCTCATTTTATTATTTTCTCTACTACTTTACTTTATAATTTTTTAATAATTTCATTTTCAACGAGTACGTGAATTTTAATTTTAAATACCAATTTTCAATTTTTCTCAGCAAAATAATGGGTGCATCGAAGCAGCGTCATTGGCTTCTCGCTGCGGTCGTTCTGAGTCTGTCCTCGAGCTTGATGGCGAGTGAGGTGCAGCAGTTCACCAACTCTGAGAGCCCTTCGGCTATCGATGTGCGAAGAGACGAGACCAATCGTACAGGAATGGCGGCGATTCGCCGGCGAAGATACGTGCGGTTTCCAACGGGATCCGCTTACCTCTACGAGGGAGGCCCGTCGGCACACGGCAGGAATCTTGAACCTCATTCGACCGCGCGTTTCGTCCCGCAGTCCATCAGCTCGTGGAGGCAACACAAGTCTCTATGGAGAAGCCCCGTGACCGCCGATTACAACAGGCCGGTTATGTCTCACCGGACACCGCGATTGATATTTCGCGACAACGATTTCCTGCCGCCCATCGGAGGTGGTGCAGCCTCTTTCTTCCAGCAGTCCAATCAGCTGCCAGATTTCGAGGACGATGTTAGAGGTAAGATCCTCTCGAGAGGAGAATGAGATATCCTCCAGTGTTTTAATTTATTGTTACTTAAAACCCTTAATACGAATTGAATTTAAATTTAAATTTTAATATTAATATTATAATAATTTAATATTAATTTAAATTTTAGATAGATGATAAATTTTTCTCATCATTTCCGCGTTCAACTATAATTATTTCAAAATTTTTTTCTTTAATAAAAGTAAAAAGTTGCTTTTTCGAACTTTACTGTAGAGTACAAGTAGCAATGTTCAATATTCAAATGACTCGGAGTCACGCTCGTCAAATGTTGCATTCTTGACGCTTTAAGCGCATTAGAAATTACGGGTTCAGACGCGTGTAACACTCAGACATATTGCATATCGTTTTATGCGCAGGTTCGCGTTTATCGCTGCTCATTATTCTTTGAATGCGTAATAAGTATTTTCCCCCTTTTTCCCCCTTTGTTCGCGCGTAATCTCGCCTCCTCCGTTCTTCGGTTTGCCGTGTAAATAACGCTTCATCGGTAAGGCGCTTAGAGAAGCGTGCGAATAAGGCAAATAACGGGTCATACGAAACTTTCGAAACGTTTCAATTACAAACGAACCGACACGTATCTCCGGCACGATTGAGTGAACCTAGCCGCGAGCATAAGCGTGTAAGGTATGTAATGTCGAACGCAACAAACTGTAACAATCGCCGATTCGCATCTTCATCTTTACAAGTAGCAATTGTGTGATACATAAAAAACGCCAGATATAGTCAGACGCATCGGTATTTTAATCTCTGTAAAAAAAATTATGAGAATAAAATTAATGAATGTCTCTTAATTTTTTTGTATAACTAATTCGATTTTGATTCCTTTCACTTTTTAAATTGAACGGGCCGTTCTTTTCGTAGAGAACTTTCTTTCTCTCTTTTGTTTCGCAATAACTGCGCTTTTCCCGAAATAGCATCCCGTCTTTATTTCAGATCTCCGGAAGCAGACGCCGGAGGACTATCCCAGATTGGAAACAGGTACGTGTTACTTGCCTGGTGGAATTGCAAAAAATCAATTATCGGTCGTAGAGATAACATCATTTCGAGGAATGTCCGATTCTTTTCAAGTTCGCTTGTTTCTCGAGTATTTGATTACCACGGTGACTTTGTCCTCTCGCAGTAAAAACTCATGGAAAAAAAAAAAAATCGAACGATCAGTCGCGCAACGTCCCACTTCTTAATGGTGCGCGAAACTTATTTCCATCACAGTCGACGACTTCCGTCGTGGTCCAAGACGCGGAAATCGTTACGCCATCATCGAACGTTGTTACACCGAGCTGGTACGAGGTCCTTTTACGATTGTCCGAACGTCTCTCCATAGAAAGTCTGAACGACGTCAGAAACGACGATTTACATTATCAATGTTTACATATATCAATGTTTTTTTTTTTTAAACAAATGAAATTATTGCCTTGAACAATTTTGTTCTGATAGGTTTCAATAGGATTTAATTCTCCTTGTTTTAAATTAATATGCAATATTCTATAGTAATTATTTTAAGCCGCGCGTATTTAATTACGAAATATATATTATTGAATTACTCGCAAATTATTTAAAAAATTCCGCTAAAAAATATTTTTACCCTAGAAAAAGATCAAATCAGCTCGACACTTCGCGCGGGACATAAATAGATAGGCAGGCGCGTCGATCGATCGCATTTTTGGTTCGATCTAAAGTATGATAATGATAATCGTACTAGTTTTGAACCAGATTTTTCAAATCCGAGTTTTAACTCGCGGTCGTTTCGTTTTTCGAAATTAGACTTGGAGTAATCGGCGGAGTTAAAGCGAGCGAGCCTCCCTTCGATTATCGAGAATTGCATTGATCGAGCGTCAATAATCGGAGCATCCGGTTAAAAAAAAATGAATCGGGAATACTTGTATTTCGTGAAGAAGTCTCAACATTTTTTACCTTGACATATGTTGCGACAACAGCGTGTATCGATATACAGTACGCCAGGATTCTGTGCGTTTTATATAAATAATTTTTTAATTTTTAATTAAAAAATCGATATTCGACCACGAGTCTTTATCAAGAGCGTTTCTATTTTCTGTATTAACATAATTGCACAGATTAAGGTTATTTATAGGTTTAGCAACCGCAATAACGTCTCTCCGTAAATCTGTCCGGATTTTTCCTTATTTTCTCATCCGGACGCGCGGCCGCACACTTATACATAATCGATATCCGATATCGTGAGAGGAGCCTCTGTCGGGGGCGTTTCTACTTCCGGCCAGCGTAATCCATGCTATTGAGATTAGATTAGGATGACGACCGCAATAATGACGACTTTTCGCGAGTTTCTCTGCTCGGACCCTTCCCTCCTCTCGCCCGAGGCGGAAGTGCGAGCACGGCCGGCACTGATGGCTCGACAGTCGTTCGCAGGACAATTACGCAACTTGACAGTCGCGGCAAGACAAGAGCATTCCATATTTTCTGCAGAGACGCGCCAACAAAAAAGACCGCTGTGGAAAGGCGACGATACATTGTGCGCGGACGGACGGAGCTGCGAATTTTTTCTAATGTGCTGGATGACGGCTGGCCTATTGGACGGCAGCTGCGGCGGCATTATGTTCGCGTGTTGTCAGCGGAGAGACCCTAAAGCTCTCACTGATTATAACCTGATCGAGTCGCCTAGAGATCAGTCTCGACCGCTTCCGCTGGATTTGTACACGGAGACCGCCAGTGACGATCGTAAGTCCTCCCTTCGAAAAGCATGCCGTCCGCAAAGTCTAGCACTTCGCACTTCGGAAGCATGAGGTCTATCCCTCTGTATCTCTGTATTCTTTTTTTCTTTTTTTTTTTTCCTCTGTCACTCTCTCTCCCACCTCGAGACTCTCTTTATCGGATCGAGATTGTGATTAGATTGGAATTTACCTGAAAATTAATCGGAAAAAAGAAGAGTCGCTCTCAAGTGTCAAGCAAGCTTTTTTTCGGATCAAGTTTCAATCTAATCCCAATCTCAATCTCAATCTTTAATCTGATATGAGTGTCTCTTCAGATTCTCAACTGTTTCACGACCCACACATGTATTTCGCATGTATTCCAAGAGCATGTACTCCTCGCACGCCATTTTTATTCCCGACGATGCCGCACAATTTTCTTTTCAGATTTTCCTCTCATCTGTCATCTTTTCTGCCCCTTTCTAATATCACAATTCTTTCTTCCTCACGTACTTTACGCTCCTTCGCTCTTTTTGATTCGCACCTACTTTGATACGCAACCCACGAGCATGTTAAATAGTCACATAAATTTAAATTTTCCATGCATGTTCGCTCAGTGATGATTTTTATTTCGGTAATCATATCATGTTTTTCTGCACAAATATCCGCCTAAATTCCCGTAAACCTGTCTGTCGACGGTTTACAAATGGCCCGTCTCCTTGATCTTGATTCTTTCGCGCTTTCCGCCGCGAGGTAAAAACGTAACCTTGTTAAAATCAAACGTTCGTTTGCGAAGCATTCTTCACTGAGTAATGACGGATGAAAAGCTGCGCGATGGAGATCGTAGGTCAGTTCTTACAAAGGGACAATATAAACTCTTGAAATCGATAGAAAGCGCGGCAGGCGGAGAGTGGATGTAGGTACAGCTGTCGTCGTCCGCGGATTAATTTTCTAGATGGTGAAACGCGAAATTTTTTTTTCTGCACTGCCATCGGCTCGTAAAACTTTGGCGATCTATACTTCGCCTCTTTCTCAGACAGACGATAAAATGCTTCGCTGCGTTCGCGACAATCGAGTTTCGCGCACTTTTACTTTATATAAAGTAACGCACTAATAAGCGCGCGGATTTGTTCGCGACTGACTGACGGATCGTCCTTCGTATAAATCATCCAAATCATCTAATAAATCTAAAAAAAAAATGTCTCTTAGCTCTTTTACAAATTCATTCAAATGAATTCGTGGAACGCATTAATAAGGTTATATTAATAAGGGTAACTTGGAATTCTAATTCTCCCCAAAGTGTTGTGATTCCAAGTAGCTGTAAGTAACAGTGTCGCATGTGTGTGTGTGTGT